TACACACAATATTACTATGTGATTAATATTAATAATAATGTTATATTTTGCCTTTACCTGTGAACTGTCATACAACCCAACCTTTATCTCCTGTTACCTTGCTTTTATTCATAGATAAACCTTTTCTTCTCTTACCAAGTTAAGAATATCTCTTGTTTCTCTAAACCTAAAAAATTCCAGTGGATCTTAAAGGAGAGGTCTTAAAGTTTTCTTTTCCCATCCAATGTTTAGCTCCCTGTCCCAGAGCCAAGTGTGAGACCATTTCATAGCTAGCACACAGTAAATACTTAACCATAGGAGTCAGGGGGTGTTGTGTCACAAAGTGGAGTGTCAGCAACAGAATGGTCTAGAACTGTGTGCTTCTAGGTCTTAATTAGGAGGGTGGTTAAAGGCTGATGGGGGGCTTACCCTGATCAAAGGCAACTTCAGGTCCTTGGCTCTGCTTCCTTAACTAAGCTAGAACTACAAGGACCTTCACCATCAACTAACACACACGCACATACACACACACATAATTGAAAGCTTCCCAAGGACAGGTTGAAATATCCCGTCTTTCCCAGGGCAGACCCTGAGTCAAGGACTCTGAGGGCAGTGGTTCGCTTGGGAAATAATCCCAGGAAGCACCCATAGGGGATTGGGAAAGTAAGATGGAAGGGAAGGCAGCCAAAACAAGATGTGTTAACAAGCAACTGAGTCATATTCCCAATGGGGACCTCTGGGAAAAGATGGAGAACGTGCCTCAGAGTTGCCCCCACCAAGGAGTATTTTCTACCAACTCTCATCTGTGAATTGAAGACGACTCTGCAGTATCAATCCCCACACTGCCCTGCAGCCTAAGAAAGCCCTGAGGCAGAGTCACAAGTACTTGCAATAAGAAGCTGGTGAGGGCAGCCCGGATGGCTCAGCGGTTTAGCTCCACCTTTAGCTCAGGGCGTGATCTTGGAGACCCAGAATCAAGTCCCACCGGCTCCCTGCATGAAGCCTGCTTCTCCCTCTGCCTGTGTCTCTGCCTCTCTCTGTCTCTGTGTCTCTCATGAATAAATAAATAAAATCTTAAAAAAAAAAAAAAAAAAGAAGCTGGTGAGCAAGAGAAGGATGAGCTCAGGCCAGTAGAAGCAAGACACACTGACAGTGGCTGGTATACTTGGGTCCCCCAGTGCCTGTTGCAGTGCTCAGCACACAACTGGTGCTCAAAAACAATGTTGCACAAATGTATGTATTTATTCTATTGGTTTTACAAAAACTTTTTTTTTCAAAGAGAACACTTTCTTCAAAGGAAATCTGAGCAAAGTTCAGGATGTAAAAGGGACTAAAGAGGAGTTGCCTGATTTCAGGACCAAATCCCCATCACCTCTCCCCCACAAGGGGAAAAGCCATGATTTAACTTATCCTCCTCGTTTTACAGATGGGACAATTTATGTACCATGTCTCTGGTGACACCACGAGTTAGTGCTGGAGGCCAAAAGCACTGGCTCCGTCTCAGCAGCAACCTCCCCGGAAGCACCGGAGAAGCCCTTGCTGAGGGCTGGGATGCTCTTCCCCCAAGATTGGGGGTGGGGAGGAAAGAATGATCTGTCGTGAACTATCTTCAAGAACACAGTGATAAAGCCCATTGTCATTCACATCCCCTCACTCCAGACCAAACATTAGCAGCCCCTGGGGATGCCAGCAGCTGGTGTTGTTGCCATTGTGGAGTGTACTCCCCACCCCACCCCCACCAGAAATCCTGTCATCTTGGACAGGCGGACTCTACACTGCTGTGCAAAATTTGGTCTCCTCTTCTGCAGGAAGGTGTGCCAAGTAAACACGTCTTGAGGGGGGTAGCCAGGGGTAAAAATCCTGAAGAACTGAACAACACAAGTTAGTGCTAGAAAGCCAAGTTTGAGGTCACTAAACTGGAATGAACTCCAAGTTTAGACAGAAAGAAATCGAGATGGGAAAGGAAAGATTTCAGCTTTGGTTTCCAGAAGCTTTTGGATTGCCTGTGTCAGTTTGGATCCACTTTGGCACCCACCCCTCTGAGTCTAGATCTCTTGTTGTCAATACTGAAAACTCCCAGCTCAGCCACCTGCCTTCCAGTCTTTAAAAAAATAAAAAATTATATGTATATATATACATATATATATGTTATTTATCTATTTGAAAGAGAGAGAGAGTGAGCAAAAGAGAGCACGCATGAGCAGAAGGGAGAAAGAGAAGCAGGCTCCTTGCTGAGCAGGGAGCTCAAAGTGGGGCTCGATCACAGGACTCAGATCATGCCCTGAGCCGAAGACAGACACTTAATTGACTGCGCCACCCCAGCATTAGACTTTGATAGCAGTTGGAAAACCAGGTGGGCAGCCAAGGCCACCTACCGGATTGATGAACACAAGTGGGAAGTCCCTCTTCTGTAGGTCTTCCTTCTGCTGATGAGAAAAGAAATAAGGAATGGTTCAATGTGAACCCCATGCCAGTCTATTCTCCAAAGAGGAAAATTCAGTGGATCATTCTGGCCAGGGTTACTTGCCCAAACTCCTCATTTTCACAGAGGAAAGTCTGAGACCCAAAGGAAAAGTGACATGCCTAAGATCTCAGAGCTTTTTAGTAGCACATCTGCAACTAAAAATACCAGTTTTTTCCTAACTCCTGGTACAGGGCCCTTTTTTCTATCTTAATGTAAAAGACAGTCTTTTCCTTTAGCCCTGCTTTTTCTTTTTCTTTTTTCTTCTATTGGTTGGTTGATTGATATATAGCTCTGTACCTGGCACATAAACTCTCATCAAGTATTTGTTGAATAAAAGATTTATGAATATATGAATGAATCTCCCCCTCTGATGGAAAGCTGGGGATTTTATTTAAACGCCCATTTTTAGACCATCAGAGATCTTCCCAATGGTACAAATATAAACATATTTGGCAAACTGCATTCTTGATAGAAGTTGAGGTTGCTAGATGGAGGACGGACGATATGGTTCAGAGTCCCAAATGAGAAGGTGTGATGGAGAGTAGGCTGCTGCACCAGCCCCTCTCAGGGGGTTCTCAGATCCCTCCCTGAGGCCTGAGGCAGAGAGAGGTACATCCAGAGTTTGCCTTGTGACAAGGCTGAAATTATGTCCAATTGGAAAAGTCTGTAATTCAGTACACCAGGTCACTAAAAATTAGGATATTTCTGCTACTGGCTATGATCATGTCAACACCCTAAAAACACTTAGCCTGATAAAGAGATTTAGAAAAAAAGAAGTTATTTTGATCCAAAACAAGCGCAGTGATTCCACTTAAGAGAAATCTCTAGGCATCAATCTATCTCCATTACAGGCCAAACTTGCCTTGCTTCGGCTTTACCTACTTATCATTAGCACCAGAGTATTGCAAAGCAAGCGGTAGGCTTTATCTTTGTTTATTTAAATGTTGCTATTTTCTAGTCATTCTTTCCTTTCAGTAAGCAGGCTTACCATAAACACACTTTTTTCTTCAAACAACACGGAGGGAGACTAAGCATGAAGAAAATAAAGAGCACTGCCAACATTTTTATGAGCATCTTTCCTTTCACTTCTGTGACTCCACCATTCCAATGGACTCCAATATTTTCACCTCATCCTGGTGTTTCCAGTCCCCCAGAACTACCTTCCTTTGAGTACGTGGAGCCAAGCCCTTTATATTACCTCTTTTAATTCTTACAACATCCTCACAATGTGACAAGTATTATTCCCATTTTACAGATTGGAAATTTAGGCTCAGAGGGATTGTGACCTGCCCAAGGGCACACAGCTAATAAGTGACAGACCTGGGTTTCAAATCTAAGTTTACCTTATTCCAAATATCAAGACTAAAAGTATATATGTAGTGACCATTTTTTTTACACTTTTACTATATCCCAGACATTTTTTTATACTTTTATATGCACATTATCTCAGACCCTTATAGCAAATTGATAAAGTAGGTTTTATTCTGTTATTGGCCATAAAGGGGTTAAATGGCTTGCCCAGAATCACACAGCTGGTAAAAGGCAGAGCCAAAAAGCAAATTCAGGAATTGTTACTCCTTACTCTGTGTTCTTAACCAAGAAACTGCATGTCACTCTCCATTCCTCCAGTAGAGACAGATTTACAAATATATGGAGTCACACTCTACACACTGTTCTGTAACCTGTTTGTTTTTCTCGTAAGTAAGGGTAGTGGGTTTTCAATCCTTGCATTTAAACTTGAAATGGCATGGCCCAGTCCTGCTCCCTGAAGCCAACAGCTGGCCCTGCCCCACCTGGTGGCTCTCATACTCAGCCCCAGCCCTCACCCTGGCCACTCCTCCCAACTCTCTCGCCCCTAGTCACTCCCTGACTCCTCACACTGGTCTTATCTTCAGGCTGTCATCTTATACTTATCCCTTAAACTGGGCACTGCATATAGACCCACTGACCTAGACCTCCAGTTTCAAACAAACCCTAATCCTGTGATGTGGTTACTTCTGACTATTCCAGGGAGCCACAGCGCCCCATCCAGCCTGCTGCCCCATTCTCACACCCTGAACACCAGCCCTTGCCTTTCAAACTTTTGCCACCTTTTCTAGATTGGCTCTGGCTCAATAAACAAAGTCAGCAACAGACATTCCATAAGATAACCTCCAAATTCCCTGTAGTTGAAAAATAATGTCCAATGTTAACATATCCTCTTAATTAAGGAGATGAGAGTTTCTTGGTAAATGCACAGAAACTATTCTACTCTGCAGTAGAATTCTGTCCATCTCTCTGCTTGAGGTAATCTCACTGTGTGGCCTTGGACCTGTCACTTCAGCTCTCTGTCATAAGTTTCTTTATCTGTCAAACAACAGATAGAAGTAGATGGTCCAGGGCCCTGTGAACTCTGCAATTCTACTATCCTCTGATTTTAAAAATGACAAATCTGGTAGATATTACTCCCATCAGTGTTTTTGTCCAATCATTAACCAAACTAATGAGACTATTTGTGCAATCCAACTGCAAAGTTCACTTTGGGGGAGAAGGGAGGAATCCGCGCCATTGGACATTCTGGGACATCACTGAGGCCAAATGAAGTTGATGGTTGTGTGCGGCCAAAGGTGAAATGAAATCAGGTGGATCCCACATAAATGGAGTGCACTTTGGAAGAAGGAAGCACTTGTGGTGAGTAGAAAACTGTTATCTGACTGAAGCCAAGATAAAATTCACTTTTTGAAAATGTTTGATTCTTTTTTTTTTTTAAGTTTGGCTCAATCACTTGTTTTTCTCTGTTCCTTATGTAATCTTGTGGGATGCAGCGTCAGAAAGTCATAAATCATTCATGGTGCTCTGGGGAAAAAAAATCACTTGTGCAAAGCAGATGTAACTTGAAATGAGAGAAGTTTTTGCATGAAACCCAAAGACAAACGTAACTCATACACTTCATAGCTCATGCTGCTCACTAATTCCCATAATCACTATGTGGCCTGGTCACTTGTTTCTGGCCTCTTGCTTCTCTTCATTTTAAATAGAGACTAAATTAAAGATATAGCCTGTCATAACTATACTGCATTTTTACAGGAGTCTTAGAAAAGATGCTGTAGTTGTGGCCTTTGTGAGGATGACTGAAGCTGACAGATTTTATTTCCTGCTTAAGGAACTCAAGCAAGTCCTTTATCTAAAAATCTCTTTTTAGTATGCCAGTCATTGCTGTCCACAATTCCTATAGGTTAATTAAATCCCCTTTGTAAAATATAACATTCTTTCCCAAAACCCACATGCAAAAAACTAAGTAGTCCCTAGCAGAGGTAACCCATACAGCTGACTCTCAAACATTAATGCCTTAAATTGGGATAGCTTTATAATTTCTAATTTAACAGCTATCTAGATGTGATGAGGTTACTAATAAACAAGAAAGTTTGGGTTTTTTTAAAAACTTCTTTCATACTCATTAACTCATTCAAGCTTCACAGAGATAGCAAGGATAAGTACGTGTTCATTCATTGATTTATTCTGATCACAAATTTTATCAACTGCCAAGCACTATGCTAAGGTGCTAAAGATTTATAGACAAGATAATGTTGTTCACCCTCAAGCAACTTGCAGTACATGAGGTGACAGACATGTAAAAATCATTATAGGGAGACAAACCAAAATGAATATGATCCTTAAAAGTGAAATGCTTTGCCCTAACTCAAACAGCTGGAAAGTTCCAGAACAGAAATTTCCTCCTAGGTCTCCTAAGGCTATGCTGAGATCACTTTCAAAGAAATCCTATAGCTTCTTGTAAATGAGCAAGTTTTGATGGGACAAAGTGAGGAAAAGAAAACTTCCAGACTGAGGTTCTTCCTCTTAGAAAAGTAATCTGAGTTAATTACTTTAGGAATGAACAAAACTGAGAAAGATTTCTCAGCAGAACAAAGGAGGAAGCACTCCCATTGATCAAGGTCACAATTTCTCCCAGTCAGCCCTGAGATGATGTCCAACCTAGCACAGTGTCTGGCATTGAGTTAGTCCTCAAAATAGGTCTATTTACTCTCAATTCAATTGAATTCAAACTAGCCATATGACCACTTGTGGCTATGTCACCAAATGAAAGGCAGTTGGTCCCTCCCAAACACTTGAGATCTCAGTAATGTTGCCTTGAACCCCTAGTTCTACAGCATGAGAAAGCCTTAAAACTTCAAGATCTTTGCTTTTTCCTGGTATTAAGAATCTTACCATTTGGTTCACTGTCACCATTCTACCACCATACCCCAAGGCACAGTGTTTTCCTCATTTTATCTACCATTTGCTAAGCTCTTCAAAATTTACTGAAGATCGGATAGTTCTAGAGAGTATTTATATCATGCACAACCCAGCACAGCTGATTCACCATCTTGCTTGTTCCACAACTCCTTCCCTCTCCATCTCTCATATTTCCTTCTTCCTTTCGAAAGCAACAAATTCTTCCTCTTTGCTCAGACACAGTTATACTGTACACCCAGAGTGTCAGCTTCTATTGTAAGTGAGCCTATCAAGGAGTTTTTTCCCCACCAAGGTAAATCTCTCTTCAGAAATAATTCTCAGACCAACTGCTAAGACAACAAAAATGTTCTACCTCTCATTTCACTTAAAACTAAAATCAAAGACGTAGACCACTGTTTTTAATAATCCTTGTGGCCACAGAATAGAAAGTGGCAGAGAGTTCCTATCATAATACTGCTCCTCAGTGTTCTCCTGGCTCAGCCTGAGGATAGCTTTTACCTCAGTCCAATGCCCAGCATACCCATCTGTCTTTGACTCTCTGGCACCATGTGCTTTTCATACTCTGAGTATAGCATAATATTTTCTGGGTCTGTGACAATAACCAACAGAAAAAAAATTATTAAACACCTGGTGTATGCAAAACACTATGCTAGGGTTTGGGGGGAATAAAGAATCATGGCCTCTGCCCTCAAAGAGACACAAACTTACCATGTAATCTTATGAAAATGACAACCAAGGTTCAATTTCTCATCCATAAAATGGTGATGTTATACACCTACCTCACAGGGTCACTGCAAAGAGCAAATAAGGCAACACACATAAATCACACATATACATAAGGCAAAACATGTAAAGTGCTTGGTTTGGTGCATGACTAACAAAAATAATAAATGGAGGGCAAATACATAAATCAATACTGATTGCTAAATGAAATAAGAGAGCTTACATAATGCAGGGAAGACTTTAATAAGTTTTATAGAAAAGATACCAAGTGCCAGGGTGATATGTGGGAAGGAAAGTCTCATTTTAGCTGACAGGATTGAGAAAGATTCCTCAGAGTGGATAGAAGTCAAGCTAGGAGTGAAGAATGAGTAGGATTTGGACAAAAGGTCTTGGGGAGTTTCCACAAGGAGTGGATAATCAGTGTTGAAGTGTTGTATATTTCCGTTAGTATCTTAATCTTGGAGAATGATGATCCTGGCTTCTACCAGTTTAGGTGAAAAGCTTTGTGGCTATATTTAGAAATTATTTGGTTGATAGAACTCTTCAAAGCTTTATGGTTAAAACTCTACTTGACCCCTAAACAGTCTATGCCCCGAGGTGGCATAGAACTATAAGACTGAAAGATTATATAAACTAGTACTCATTAGATGTCTCAGCTATTGTAGGTACAATATCCTTGCCCAAAAGACATCTAGTTATCTGTTTGCACACTTCCAATGACAGGAAGTTCAGTGCCAAAACACTTTTGACCACAGTTAACATATTGAAAAGAACCAGAGGTGGGGAAACCCAGCAGGTATATGGGAGATCATGGCAAGGACTATTTCCAGAAAGTACCAATTTTAAAAAGAACTTTAATTTTATTACTAGCTTGATCTTAAACAAGCCACTCAATCTTTCTGGGACTCAGAGTACTTCTTATACTGCTTATAGCTCCAACATCCTAAAACATCTGATCAAAAAGTAATGCAGGTCAAATGTCATACTGCAGAGAAAATCAGCTGAAATCAAACATGCAGAACTGTTTTATAACTTCTCAACTATAAAATAAAGGGATTTTTATTACCACTATGAAATCACTCAGTTTCAGTTCAAGAACCACATCAGTCCCACAGATACAGAGATGAATAATCCCACCCTACTCCTCCTGCACTAACCCTGCCTGAGAAACCTTGTATTCAGATATGGACACGACAGTTTAATAGGGATACCAATATGCTATGATTTAGCAAGAAGCTGGAGCTATTGCTGGGATGGAAACTGTCATCTAATTGGAAACTTTTCTCAGAGATATATGGGAAGGACTAAAATTCTTTTAAACTGCTGAGGGTAGAACAAGTATCCACAGGTAAAAATACCATGGAAGTGGATTTCAGTGTCATATAAGGAAGAGCACCCCAATGGTTAGAGTCATCCCATCAGATAAGTTAGTGAGTTTCCATTGCCAGAAGTGCTGTAGAAGGATCTGAAGAACTAACAGAATAGCTAATGCAGATGTGACTACATGGGCTAGGAGGTTATCCCAGAAAATATATGTGTATCTTCCCAGTTCTGAGTCCCGTGTTCCTCAATACACAGTAATATTTATCATTATTAATTTATTTTTCTGACAAATATTTAGCAACTGGTCCTGACTTTGGGACCAGCATAGCTGGGTTTAAATCTCAACTCCACCACTTTCTCACTTTCCAATCCCTCACCTATAATATGGGAATAATAAAAGTTCCTGCTTATAGAGTTGCTCTGAAGATGAAAGGAAATGATTTATGTAAAGCACTTTTGAACAGTGTTTGACACACTACACACAGTTGATTAATGTTCGACATTAGTAGCAATGGTAGTATATGTCAGGTATTGAGCTAACATTAGGTCACCAGGGTTAAGAACACATGAATCCTACCTTTCTTGAGTTTAACGTCAGCCAGGAGGTGGGAGAGTATAAAGGATAATAAACTAAAAGTCACAAAAAGATATAATTATAGCCTTAAACTATGACATTTGCTATGAAGAGGAAAAGAGGATGCTATGATAGAGTGTGACAGAAGAGAAAATGATTCATTTAGATTGGAAGGTGCAAGGAAGAGTTCTTTGAGGAATTGATATTTAAGCTAAGTTGCAATTCAGATGTATCCCAGCACCAGTGGTTTAAAGGGATGCCCTGATGGCTGGCTTTAAATCAACAGAGAAATGAAGCCAACTGTTTACAATGGTATGGAGTCACCTGTTGATCTTAGTCTCAATTTGTGCATCAAATCTCACATTAGGCAGTGGAAGTGTAGACAAGTTTTCTTTACTTTAGCTACTAGTTTTCATTTGATTTTTCTCTGAAATCTATAAATTTATCAATTTATACATATATACATACATACCTACATCTATTTATGTAGGGGGGATTCAATGATATGTAGTCCCCAACCTCAAGGAACTTGTATCAAGAAGCCTAGTATGTGCACAAGTTTCTATAAGCAAAAATATGTCAACAAGGAGGAGGGAAATTCATGGAAGTTGAAGAATCTATAAATTCAACACAGACGAGGGGATGAAGGGAAAATTTTTTGAAAAAGTAACATGTTGAAGCATGCTAGACAATTCTAAGCAAAGTGAATTTGAAGGAATCAAATCTTACTCAGCATCTGGTCTCTAAAATCATTCATAAAGCAAGGAAAAAAATCATGACTAGATTATGGTCAACAGGGACCATATTGGGATATGGC